GGATGAGGGGGAGGATGAGGATGAGGATGAGGAGGGGGGGTCCCAGCCGTGTCCCCCCCAGCTGGGGGTCCTGGCGGTGGTGGGCGAGGACCCCCCCGCGCCAGCAGAGCGGGGCCGAGTGTCGCGCTGTCACTGGCCGTGGCCATCTGGGGCCACCACCCGGCTGGGTGGCAGCAGCGCGGGGTCCCCTGGAGGGACGGCGACACTTGGGGGTCTCCAGGAGAACCGGGGGGGCTGCTGGGGGGGCACGAAYCCCCCCAGACCCAGCGAGGGACCCCCACGGCCCGGTCCCCGTCACAGCCGGGTCTGGGGGCTCGGGCACGGCCCTGYCCCGGGSACCCYCCTKGCCAGCCCTGCCTCAGTTTCCCCTCCCGGGGGGTCTCACCCAGCGCCTCTCAGGGCCCTGAGCTGGGGGTGGCACCGGCCCCGTGCGGTGGCAGCAGGTGACAGTGCTGATGTCCCCTCCCTGCTCCTCTTTTTGGGTGTCCCTGAGGGGGTTCCCCTCACACTGATGGGGGGCTCGGCCGTGTCACCCCCGTCCGGGTGGCACCGCGGTGTCCCCGTGTCCTGCAGGGTTGTCCCCAAACCTGTCCAGCCCCACCCTCCCGAAGGACCTTGTCCCCACGGCCCCCGTGTCCCCTCAGGTCCCGCAGCCCCCTGACCCCCATTCCTGCTGAGACCCCCCTGGGTGCTCCCCCGGGTTTGTCCCCCCGGGTTTGTCCCCTCGGGTGTCCCCCCAGGTGTCCCCGCGGGTGCCAGGCCTGGCCCCGCGCTTTGTCCGTGTCCCCAACTCCCCCCGCGCGTGTCCCCGGGGCCGGGGGTCCATCCCGGGGGGGTTTCGGGGTCGTGTTGAGCTGAGCCGGACCCCTCCGGTTCCCCTCCGGTTCCCCTCGGGTTCCCCGCCGCTCTCCCGGCCCGGTGCCGCTCCCGGAGCCGCTCCCGGTGCCGCTCCCGGTGCCGCTCCCGGCCCGTCCCGGCTGCCCCCGGATCCCGCCGCGCTCCTTAATCGATGGTGGAGATTGATCTAAAAATAGCGGCGGGAGCGGAGCGGAGCGCGGCCGAGGCGGAGGGAGGAGGGATGGAGGGATGGAGGGATGGAGGGGTGGGGGAGGGAGGAGAGAGGGAGCGAGGGAGGGGCGGACGGGGGGGGAGGACCGGCGCATCCCCTCCCCGCGGCACCGCCGGGATCCCCCCGCCCGCCCGGGACCCCCCGCTCCGGACCGGCGATGGGAATTGGGGGAGGGGGCTCAGCTCGCGGCGCTCGGC